GTTCGATATTAGCAGTCAAACTATTTGAGTTTCATATCACACGCTAAAAAAAAAGAAAGAATATATATATATATATATATATATATATATATATATATATATATATATATATATATATATATATATATATTACACATATACGGTAGTCTTATAGCATGAGGATGTGCATTTGTGTTACGACAAATAAATCCATATAAAGGGAACAGAAATGTAGGTGTCAAACGAAAGATACATCAATTTATTTTCGCAGGAAAATGATAAAATTTGCACGCAGTTTTGAAGGCACTGTAATATAAAGATTCAAAAAGTATGTTATTGAACAAACGTGATGTTATTGAAAGCGTTCTTTTTAAGTCTACTGATATGATACATACGTTGGGATTGTTTTTCCAGCCTGGATATAACATTGCCTTTTCTGTATTTGTAAACTCTTTGTGGGATTTTCTTTCGTTTTTTTTTTTTTTTTTTTTTTTTTTATTATTGTTGAGAGTTATTTCTGCAGTTTAAGTATCCCACGACTTATGAAAATACATGTTGATAAATAGCATAAAAATGCCAGAATTAGTTTCATCAATAAACATTTATCGCAGCTCAACTTCATCCTTTTTTTGAGTTGATCATTACGTATAATACCTGATTGGTGGGATTAACTAGCTCGTTCTTAGCATGCCAGGATTAAATTACGAGCTCAAAAGTGAATGCTGGTCCAGAGATGAAATAAAAGTTGATCCTGGACGCTGCCATTGCGCATGCGCTCTAGAGATCTGGATTAAACTTGAATTCTGGATTAACTTTTATGGCACGTACAGAAGACGCCCTAAAGCACTGAAGAAGTTGGTTCATTCTACATACATTAAATGATCACCACAGAAGGCTTTCTCTGTTACTCAAGATCAAAGTAAGTCTGCTGAACAGATCTGCCCTCTTGTACGGAAGGCTTTCACACTGCGCCCGAGGTTTAAGCTATAAGGTTTGAAGTGCTTCACTTTGTTTAAGGCTTAAAAGGTTTTATCACTGTGCCTCGGCTTATATTTCTGTCTTCTCGTACTAGACCAAGATTGCCAGAGAACTCCCTTAACCACGATGGAAACGTATCACAAATTGAAATACAATGTCAGGTTACAGAGATTTGTATGTATATACGAAGTGATAATGCAGTGATTTAATGCAAATGTATGTGTAGATTACCCTCTTTTTGCAGAGACATAATCAAAACATTAGACCATAACTTATAAGCTGTGCTTTTATATAAAGAATGATGTTCGTATCCTCACTGAGCCATGAATCTGTAACTACATGAGTTCTGATATCCCCAATTTTGGATATGCAGTGATGTTACAAATGATTAATACTCCCCACATCTATTAGGAAGGAAAATAAAACTGTAAGCCTAGTTTCTTACCCTATTAAAGTCTGTGAACTTCACTTTGTCGTCGAGGACTTTTCCCACGCATTCTCGGACGGGAATGGACTGGTCGAAGTATATCCTGTTAGCCGAGTTGATGGTGTAGTTCTGGTTTGCTTCTTGGGAGTCATAGCTGCAGTCGTGTTATTTTAGTAGAAATTATTATCTGATAATGTATTACTTGCATTATAAAATCATGATCCTTTTTTTATCATCAAGGTTTTATTCATGTCCATCTCTCTCTATATATATATATATATATATATATATATATATATATGTGTATATATATATATATATATATATATATATATATATATATATACAAGTATATACTTATATACATATATATGAAAATGAAGAAAGCAAATATGAAATGAAAAAAATCTTTTTGTCGTTGTTCTTCATAATTTTTGTGTACACGTTTCTGTGTTTGTGTTTACAACACACACACACACACACACACACACACACACACACACACACACACACACACACACACATATATATATATATATCTACCTACCACCTCTCTTAACGGTTCACTCGGTAGGTTTAATCGCGTCAACCCACTCACCGCGTTCGAGGGCCCTGAACAGGGCGAGCGTGTCCTCCCTGTTGGTGAGCCGCAGAACCTGCTCCAGCTCCGCCTTCGTCTTGCCTCGGGAGCCGAAGTAGGCGAGGACGAGGGCGCTCCAGACGCTGAAGGGCGAGATGAAGAAGTTCCCCGACGGAGGGAGAGCCTTCTGGAGTAAGTCGAGCGAAGGGGGTCGACTGCTTGAGAATCGGGAGCGCGGGGGCGGCGAGGTGTCGGAGGAGGAGAGGCACTGACAGCTGGCCCGCGACAGGAGGGCGAGGGGGGGAGCAGCACGCACACTCTCATGGTTCTGAAAGGTCACGCACACACTGGTATTTGAATATAGAAACACACGCAAACACATATGTATGTGTATATTTGAATATAGAAACACACACGCAAACACATATGTATGTGTATATTTGAATATATATATGTGTATATTTGAATATAGAAACACACACGCACATATATATAATATCTTCGTCAAAATATTATGTATTTCTAACTATAGGCAAAAGCGAGCCAGATACATTAGCACTATTAAGATATCCGGTCTTATTATTTTGACGCAATGAACACGGTTTAGAAACAAGTGACTCAAACACGGGTTGCAGTATACGCAAAACTATGGGTTGCACAGGAAACATATAACCGATATTGCAGTTCGCCTAACATTGTAAATAGACCTTATGAGGTGGGAGGCAAAATGCTGAGAGGAGCGGCGCAATATCTTTCAGTCACCTCAACACATCAGCAGTCAACAGTTACCATATGCGATTTGCAGTACCATAAATTCCTTACGAAATCGGAATATTCACATAAAACAGAAAACACCAAAGATGGTCTGTGGTGAGACTTTACCAAGCTACAGATTACTGAGGTAGCGAGGCTGTTCCTGTGAATATTTTACTACCCCTCTACATCTGCTTTATTCATAATTCCATAATAATGATACAATGAAACACATACCGTACTTTATTGTCTTTTATGCTCTTTGGTGCCACGCATCTCTGTGTAAGTGTACATTTGTTACAAAACTAAGATTTAATTAATACACTACAAATCTGAACTATTATGAAAAACCTGTACCTGAATTTGATCACAAAGAGATATATGTTTTGGGGGTTTTCAGAATTTTAACATCGTCATACAGATGAACGTCTGATCATACAGGGTGTCCTATATTTACTGTTAATGAATGGTTAGTGATATGATCATCATATGTTAACCACTTTCAATATGTTATGAAATTATCTTGAAATTCTGTGTGCGAGACGTTTGTTAAAATTGTGCGAGGCCCGACCCAATGAATATTCATACAAAAGACATGCAAATAAAGGCTTATTTCTTTATCTATCTGATAGATATACATTTATTTATCTATCTATCCGGCAGATATGCATTTGTCTGTCTACATTCATATTCATAATAATTAGGTCAGGCTTCGCACAGTATTAACAAACCGGCCGATGATATACATCAGCATACAGATCATACAAAACACCGGTACACAGTGCTCACCAAGAGAGTCTCGACACCAGTACCAACGCAGCGACCTAAAGTGACAGACGAACGCGAGAAGTCTCACGCAACGCACTTTCACCTACTAATGAGGGGCGCCTGGGACTCACGCTGATATACATCGCAGAGTCGTGCAATGCATTATAGAATAAACACATTACAGATGCCAATTGATATTCTCAAAACAAAAACACAAACAGCGTTCATTTAATTGTAATTAAAACGGGAAACGAATGTTGCAAATTCGGGTCACGTTTACATTGCAATGATGCTATTTGACAGCAGGACATGCAGCGAGAAACGTGATTTGGAATTATAAACTAAGTGTTCGTTAATACAGATAAATTCTATGTTTCGCTTTCTCCAATGAAAAAAAACAATAACCACAACAATAGCAGTATAGATTACAAAACTAAAACAATAATAATGAAGGCAAAAACAACATTGGTATAACAACAACAATGCCAACCATAATAATAACAAAGGTCCAACAGAGGATGCTCAAGATATTTTATGTCATGATTTCGTTACAAGAAGAAAAAAGTTATAATCTATCTGTACTCCATTTCATCAAATAATCGTTTTTTCGCTTTCTAATTTTAGATTTAAAATAGTAAGGCTAAGTTTAATCTTTAAAGGATATATATTACCACTGTGTACCGATATATTATATATATATTACCAACCTCTAGCGATACATACATATATATACATATATATATAGTGTATATGATATATAATGTGTAGTATATATAATACACAGGTAGTCCGCGTGTTACATGTTCCGTTCCAGTAGGCTGTCGTAAGTACGTATGTTCGTATGTCCGTAGTAGGGCGTACGGTATGTTTTCATTACTGTACAACTAGCTCTACTTTCGGACGTCCGGTATAAACAATGCAGTGGTTTTCGGTGTTTTTTAATGTGCTTTGAACAACCTTCATCCAAATGCTCAGAAGTTTTTCAAATTCTGCAATCACTTTTCCACGTTTCTTACTGATAACAGTAGACTGCATAGGGACTGAACTTTTCACATGCTCCATGATTTTATCCTTGTTCTTGAGTATTGTACCGATATGTACCGTAGAACGATTCATCTAGTACGAACGAAGATTTGAGATATCAGGCTTTGAAGTTGAGGATATTTTTCCTCCATTTTTATTCTTTGAAAATCTGATATCTGAGTCAACCTTGATGCATTCTATGGCATTCACATGTATTCTGAAGTGTACCCCCCCCTTTTTCCAAAGGACTAATGGCAATGAGTGCACATGATTGTAGAAGTACTGCATGTCACCAGAGGCTTGCAGTGCTTCTCGAGGCATTTCATAGAAAATAAAAAACTGCTGCAGCTGTGATTGAGATGTATTTCTCATCATATTATGCTTATTAGTTACAGGAATAACATTGATCATTAGTAGTGGCCTATTATGTGATGAGGGCGCATCAGGGATGGTATCGCCCGAGGCATGGGACGATCTTCATCTCGCTCCGCTCTCTTGTGGTGACTGCCAACCTTGTCTCTTTGTAGTGACTGTCAGCTGTGCTGCAAACAGAGTTGCCAGCTAGTTACCAGAGAATACCAAAATGAAAAAAAAAAAAAAAAAAATGTTGAGTATATTTGCACAGACGCGACACAGTAAACATCAGAGCCGGAGGCGGATGTCGGGGGAGGGGTCAGAGATTTAGGCCAAACTTTATTTTACCGTAATTAGCAAAAATATAATTACAAAAATAATCACAAAATCACAAAGTTTTCTGGAGAGCGTACAACACACGTTTGAATGAGACCGTGGGTACAGTGAGAGAGCTATTGTTTAGGCGCGCACTACTCTCACTCCCTCCTGACAACTTTGTTCGCATGTACCGAAGTTCGTAACTCGGAAGTTCGCAAGTAGGGGACCACCTGTATGTGATATATGATGTATATAATATATGGAATCTATAATGTATATAATAATTATAATATATGTAATCAATATATACATATATATGTATAATATATATATATAAAATATATAATATAGATAATATATAATATATATATATATATATAATATAATAATATATTATATATATATAATATATACAATTTATATAACATGTATATAATAAATATCATATATACAATATATATATCACATGTATAACATAAATATATATAAAATATAACATATAAAAATATATATAATATGTATATATATATATATATAATGTATATTATATGATATATATATATGTATATGACATACGATATATATATGATGTATATGGTATATTGTAAAATATATTATGAATTATGATAATATGTGCAATACATTATATTTATGTGTGTATGTATATGATATACATCATATATATGACATACATAAAATATGTATATACACACATGCACATCTTCAATCTACAGTATACTCTAGATGACGATTTAAAATGTGTTTGGTTAGTTTTAATAGGATTGGAAATCAGAAAATAATCCTGGTTTTTGTTTTCTTTAATGATATTTGACAAAGATATCCCATAGTCACCCTCTGACAAACCACATTATTGGAATTTGTAGTAAATTCAAAGTTTTCAGTCAAATTTCTAGAAAAGGCAAACAAACAAATTATTGCATATTCAGATGCAATCATATGACGTTCCCAAAGCTTTCCCAAACCATCTAGTTCCCCAGGTCGTCCCTCAAATCCCAGGCCCCCAAGATCATGTCCTAGGTATAAAATACTCCAAAAACCTGCCTTATCATTAAACCTTCAGGATAGTACAGTGGTAACGCGCCGGTCTCTCATCCGAGGGGTTGCGGTTCGCGCCCCGACCAGGTGTGAGAAGTTGCAATTGTCGCCCTGAGGTAATTGCTGTGGCTGGGCACCACGGGGGTAAGACTAACCTCTGTGCACTAGCTGACACACGTTGATCGAGTCAACATTAGTCGGCACAGGCCGGGCGAAGCTCAGCTTCGCATATCGGACATATCCTCATCCTTGCCCCAATACTTGATTTCTTTACAGTAAAAATACTCTGGGCTTCGTTCGGCCGATCCCGCTTCCTGTGCCTCAGCTCAAGGCAACCTCGCGCTGGGAGATCAGCCGATATTTGTTTTCTGCTGATCATTGACGCACACACGCATTCATAACAGTTTCAGAAACGTCACTACTAGGATCGATAAATAGGTTTGTTTAACCCTCTTTCTTGGAAAGAGAAGAATGGCAGCTTTATTAATAAGTGGATTACAAAGAAAATACTTCAAAAAGCTTTTACCTCTATCAGAACATTGACATCAATGTGCGAAAAGTACTGATGAAATTTTCGTTACAGGAAGATGAATCTGGTGTTAAAAAAGTCTGAATTGCAGCTTAGCTCATGTTTTTCACTTGTTTCTTTTCACGCTTTAAAAACCTGGAGCGTCAGTAGGATTAATCTGGTTTACAACGATATATCTTTTGTGAGGAAGGATTATGATTTAATAGGTTGATATACTTCATCTGATTCTCAGGTCACTTTTTTTTTTTTTTTTTTTAAATGCTCTCTACATAACTATGATTCCAAGTGGTTTTAATAACTATTACCTCTTAGGGTTTATTTTCTCTCAACTACTTTATCTGAACAACTTGATATCATGGATTTACTCTGGCATAGCTTACTTTCCTTTATGCAGAAGGGGTGTGAACAGTGTTTGGTTTCCTCTGGGTCTTCAGTACGTGGTCCTTTACGGTATAGTTAGGGGCATAAAATGAAGGTAATGATAATGACTTTGTGTTAGTTTTAAAGAGGGGAGACTAACAAAATTTGGCCCTAACAATAACAACAGTAGCAATAACGATGATAACAATAATAATGTTAATAATAATAGCAGTAGTAATGATAATAATAATAACCATAATAATAAAAAATAGTAACACTAGTTATAACATTAATAATGATATTGTTGAAATGCAATAATAGGATAAGAAAATAACAATCGAATGTAATTAATATTCAATATAATGATAATTATGATAATAATAATCTTAATGATAATAACAATGATAATACCTATGACAACAATAACAAGAACAATGATAATACCTTTAATAATAATAACAATGAGAATAAAACAAGAAAATAATAATAATGATAACAGTAAGAATAACGATAAAAAAATAATAATGATAATAATAGCGTTAAAATCAAGAAGAACATGCCAACCATAAACAAGGTCCAGCAGAGGACCCTCAAGGACCCCTATAAACCCCATGAACAGGATGTTGTTCGCCTCGTTATCTTGAATGAAGAAAACGAAGGGCCGGTTGCACGTGAACGTCGTCTTTGGAGGCATTGAACGAGACCTATTCAACGAACGCCGTCGCCGCTGCCGCCTCTGCGCCTTCTTCGTCCACCTCTATAAGGGCCTTGTGGATCGCTCCATTCACCAGTAATCCTCGAACAGGTGTGAAGTTGGTCAGATCGGCGGTGGAGGAGAAAAGGTCACGTATTCCCATTTTCTGTAAAGTCTGGAGAAGGAAGGCGTGGATACGATGCTATTTTTAAAGGTATTTTGCGTCATGATTTCGCTACAAGAAGAAAACAGTTTTTAATAGGTTATCAGTATTTCATTTCATTAAATAATCGTTTATTGCTCTCTCAGTTTAGATATAAATAGTAGCAAGACTAAGTTTAATCTTTCAGGGATATCTATTACCAATATTTAACGATTTTGCAACCAGATGCAGAATCTTTACTGAAGTAATGGTATGATATCTAAGCTCGAAACCCTTCGCGAGCCAATTTTCCCTTCAGCCACCATCTTGAGGGCCAACAGAGGTTTACATCTAACTTCCCAGGATTACGTTTCTTAAACTGGTATTATGTGATTGAACGTTAAGTTGATTTTACCTATCACATTTAAATGGTGATCCTAATGGTAACACATTATATATGACTTTATTTTCATGACGATCCTAACTTCACCGGCTAATAATTATGACAGGCCTTGGGATCAGCACAGTGGACACATACATATATGTATGTACATGTATATACATATAAATAAATCAATAAGTATATATATATATATATATATATATATATATATATATATATATATATATATATAAACACACTTATATATGAATATATATACATGTATATATACATATAAATATATGTATATATATAATATATATGTATATATATATATATATATATATATATATATATATATATATATATATATATATATATATATATATATCAGAATGACATAATAGAAAAGGCAATAGAAAAAAATAAGAATGAAGTGATGAATGTAAAACGTAAGTATTGGCTAATTAATCATTCAAAACGGCCGCCTGTAAGACTGAAACAGCAAATATCCCGCGGGCTACTCCAGCTGTATTGAGGAAAGTTCCCTGCTGGTATATATATATATATATATATATATATATATATATATATATATATATATATATATATATATATACACACACACACACACATATATATATATATAACGTTTGTGATGGCAGATATAACTCAATTTGTGAGTTCAACAGGAACCCGATAATATTCAATTACATTTATATGAAATATCTACTATTCATCTTTTTTTTTTTTTTTTTTTTTTATCTCTCTATCCTTGATCTACTTGTTTGCTAGAATAAGTCATTCCATTCTTTTAATCACTAAATACCAGACTTAACTAGCCTTATTCACTAAAATTCCAGTCTTTGCTAACCTTATTCAGTAAACTACGACCCTTTGCTTACCATCCCAAAATACCAGGTTCGCTTACCTTGCCCTAATTCAAACATACCGAAATGAGTTCATCCCCGAGAGTACTCTCCACGCTGAACTTGGGAAACTTGACTCTCAGCGAGACGGAGGGCATCGCCTTCAACTCGGACACGAGCTTGGGCTTCAGGCGTTGGACCAGCCAGTCACCGTCTTGGATCCCCTTCCACATCGCGGGAGGAGCACCACCATGGACGCGCTGTCGCCCCTGTAGGGCATCTCCAGCACCTGGGCGCGAAACTTCTTCGAGTCCACTGAAACGGAGTTGGACATATTTTGAAGTTCGTGATAATAACGTGATTCATTTTACGATTTCCTTAAATTGTAAGGTAACTTGTTCTGTGCTGGAATTATGTACGTGTTGCCATAAAGAGAGACACCTAATGTACACATAATTGATTTTGATTTGCGACAAATCGATACAAACGCAAAGTAAATGGAAAAATAATGTAATAACGGAAACTGGACACAAGGAAAGGTAGGGAGGTTCATTTTGTGTAAAGGAAGAACTCCCAACATTACATATTGAACCTTCTCGTTTGCGACATCATATCCACTTGGACAGACTCTTCCGGGGTTACGAAAAACTTGTCCTTGTGGGTCCTTTGAGGCTTGAACGGGTATTTCCAAAAGCCTTTGAAGTAGACGGCGTTAGTTAAGACCATTTTAGCGCCTTTAACAAAGGAGGGTTGTATAAGCTTTGGTATTTTTCCTCGCGTTTCGGCGTTGATGTCAGCAGCGGCGGCGTCGGGCTGATGGCAGATTCAGTTTGATTATTTCGGTCAATGGAGTTTAAAGCCTTTAAAGAAATGTATCTGTTAAAAACTTGAAAGGATTTTTTTCTTGTGCAAGGGTCTCTTCTGTACGCGTCATAAAAGTTATGCTGCGTTCGGAACTGCTCGTCTTGCTCGTCCAGACACCTTGTCCAGGACCAGCAGGACAAGTGGGCCGCGTTCGGAACCTCCAAGACCCTTTCTGCCCAGAATGCAACCGGCTCCAATGTAAACTTATTTTTTTATTTATTTATTTATTTATTTATTTATTTATTTATTATTATTATTATTATTATTATTTTATCATACTGGTGTCTTTATTTTACACGCTGCATAGGTTTTGTAACTCCTTTGATGCATATTTAACTTACCTGCAACTGACAAACACAAAAATATCCTTTGATAACACCAATAAAGGGTTATAAAATTACCCACCAATATCTTGCGGTTACCTACAACTGTCAATGTTTACATACAAAATTACTGTGACGTCATCTCGTCCTGTTCGCCCAGGTTCGCAGGAGGGCGAGTTGGACGAGCCAGAATACTTGTCCGGGACGAGATTGTGGAGGTTCCGAACGGTCAAAACATCTTGTCCAACTGGGCTGGACGAGATAGACGAGCAGTTCCGAACGCAGCGTTAAATCCAGATTAGAGTTTCATCCAAATCCACTGTACTTTCACAGATGTAGTACACACTACCAGACGCACGCGTCCATGCGATTATCAGTAAATTTGCTCTTTTTCAATAAGAGCGGGTATTTGTGTAGTCGAAATTAGCAGTCAAACTATTTGAGTTTCATATCACACGCTAAAAAAAAGAAAGATATATATATATATATATATATATATATATATATATATATATATATATATATATATATATATATACACATATACGGTAGTCTTATAGCATGAGGATGTGCATTTGTGTTACGACAAATAAATCCATATAAAGGGAACAGAAATGTAGGTGTCAAACGAAAGATACATCAATTTATTTTCGCAGGAAAATGATAAAATTTGCACGCAGTTTTGAAGGCACTGTAATATAAAGATTCAAAAGGTTTGTTATTGAACAAACGTGATGTTATTGAAAGCGTTCTTTTTAAGTCTACTGATATGATACATACGTTGGGATTGTTTTTCCAGCCTGGATATACATTGCCTTTTCTGTATTTGTAAACTCTTTGTGGGATTTTCTTTCGTTTTTTTTTTTTTTATTTTGAGAGTTATTTCTGCAGTTTAAGTATCCCACGACTTATGAAAATACATGTTGATAAATGTCTGTAGCATGAAAATGCCAGAATTAGTTTCATCAATAAACATTTATCGCAGCTCAACTTCATCCTTTTTTCTGGAGTTGACGTCATTACGTATCAATACCTGATTGGTGGGATTAACTAGCTCATTCTTAGCATGCCAGGATTAAATTACGAGCTCAAAAGTGAATGCTGGTCCAGAGATGAAATAAAAGTTGATCCTGGACGCTGCCATTGCGCATGCGCTCTAGAGATCTGGATTAAACTTGAATACTGGATTAACTTTTATGGCACGTACAGAAGACGCCCTAAAGCACTGAAGAAGTTGGTTCATTCTACATACATTAAATGATCACCACAGAAGGCTTTTCTCTGTTACTCAAGATCAAAGTAAGTCTGCTGAACAGATCTGCCCTCTTGTACGGAAGGCTTTCACACTGCGCCCGAGGTTTAAGCTATAAGGTTTGAAGTGCTTCACTTTGTTTAAGGCTTAAAGGTTTTATCACTGTGCCTCGGCTCATATTTCTGTCTTCTCGTACTAGACCAAGATTGCCAGAGAACTCCCTTAACCACTTAGATGGAAACGTATCACAAAT